ATCATTAGCACTGAATCTGATCCATAACTTAACAAATTTAATTTCACTAGAAACAGCTAAGGATTTAAAACCCAATCTTCCATCAAAATTTGGTCTACACAATCTCTTCCAGCTTGTCCAATGCATCCCACCATCTTTGCCGGCCCAAAGGAACTTGTTCAAAATCCACTGCAATTTATTTTGATTGTATTTCCACATTCTCAGCACTTGAAGAGAATAGAGTGCTATAGAATTCAAAACATTTCAAAAGAGTAAGTTTGCCCCCATTAAAAAGAAAAGCATAGGCCCAATTCTGAATTTTCTGTTGAATTTTAAGAAAAATTTCATCAAATTGATTTGTTTTCTTCTTTCCTTAAAAATCAGAATGCCATACTACTTCATATGTAATTCAATTTTAGTGAATCCAGTATAAGAATGAATCCACCTCCTATTAATCACATCTACCTTATTAATTGTAACGAAATGACACTGAGCATTGTTGAAACACATACCAGACACTGCCTCAAACTAGTGTAAAGTAGTGTACAATCTTCTTACTGAATTCTTGCAAGTAATGCTAAAGATTATAATGTCATCAGCAAAAGAAAGGTGAAAAAAATCATATTACATCTGGTTCTATAGTTCATTCCTTGGTATCTTTGATGAAGTAGATTCAACTGCCTGGACAAATAATCAAAAACCACAAAAAAGATTATGAGAGAGTGGATCACCTTGCTTAATGCACCTAGTTGCTTTGAAGTAACCCTGTGGTTGCCCATTAATAAAGATTGAATAGTAGTTGTTATCGATAATTCTAGCAATAAGACAACAAAATTCTCATTGAAACCTCTAGCTTTTAGAACAACCGAAACAAACTCCCAACTTATAATATCATAAGCTTTTTTCATATACAAGTTGAAGATAAGATTGCCCCTTGGTTTATCAATCTCCTCCACGACTTCCTGGGCTAGCAAGGTATTATTAGTGATTTATTTCCCCTTGGGAAAGGCAATTTGCTGAAGACAACAACTTTTGGTAGGTAAGGCTGAATTCTGTTAATCACAATTTACTAATCACCTTTGAAATAACTGCTGTAAGGCTGATGGGCTTGAAATGTTTCGTAACACTCTTATCATTTGACTTTGGAATCAGGGTAATGGTGGAAAACTTGAAGTATTTGAGTGGTTCAACCCGCTGGAAAAACCTCTAAGAGCTTCTCAAATCTCCTCCCCCGTAAGTACATACAATAAGTTCAAACTGCCAACAAGTTCACTATAGTTCACAAATAAATTTTCATCCAAAACCTCCAAATTGACACTGTTATCTGAGAAGAGTTTCTTGAAATAGTTAATAGCACTTCGACGGATTTCTTCTTGCTCGTACACCCAGCCACTAGTTTCATTTTAAATCTTCACGAAAGCATTGGTTGTCTCCTATATTTAATATATGCATGAAAATATCTTTTGTTCCTGTCACCTTAAGCAAAATGAAGACTACCAGCCTTCTGAATTAACAGATTCTCCTCCAAGTTTATTGCCTCTAAAAGCTCAGCTTGTGCCTTGATTAGATCCCTCTCCACATCACAAAATTCACTCTCCAAACCTCTAATAGTATCATCAATCTTGCTAATCCTGTTGTTTATGTTTCCAAACACCTCCCAATAATATTTTTTTAACTTCTCTGCCACTTTCCTATGCAGCAGCTACAGCATAGTCCAGAAGTTGCCTTTAGGGTCAGCTGTCCAGACACACTTGACACAATCCAGGAACTTTTCATGCGTAATTCACATATTGAGAAATCGGATAGGAATATTTGATGGCTTCTGCAGAGAGCTAACAGTCAGCAAAGCAGAAACATGGTCAGACCCAATCCTGTTGAGACGTCTCACGCCCGAATGCTGAAAACAGTCAGACTAGATTTTGTTCACCAGAATTCTATCAAACAAATCAAATGTTCTACCTCTACACCACGTGAAAGGGCAGCCAGTGAAAGCAAGTTCAAATAATTTGACTTCAGTAATTGTATCAGTAAACTCATCCATGATATTTTGGTTTGGTTTCCTTCCTTTTTCTCATTGTCACGGGTTAACATGTTGAGGTCTCCCCCAATGACCCAGGACCAAATAGAATTAGATCCTAAGGTCCTCATCCAACTCCACAGCTCCCTTCTGGACTCCTTGGTACAACCAACATACACAAGTTCAGTGGGAATACCCAAAAAATTGAATCTACACAGTCTTCTCACATATCTTTTCTGATTTTTCTCAGCAACGAAAGGCTCCAAAATGGTAAAATATTTAAGCTTGTGAATCTTAATAAAAATCCTAAGCCTATTAGAGGCATTCATATCAGCAATGCCTTTAATATTCCAAATCAATAGGTTAAACATCAGGGAGTGATTCTCTAGTGACCCTAGAGGAAGGTCCATCATCCAAAATAGCAAGTGCACCTGCTGTAATTCCTTTAAATATTAAAGCAACATTTGGGTTGACATACCTCAGTTTTCTCATGCCCTTTTTCTTCTTTCTTTTAGATTTCAGCACCAGTCATTCCTCCTCCATATCCTGATGGGAAGCCAGCATATTATCAGAAATGAACTGTTTATCAATAACATTCTCCTGCTCAGTCAGCTCTTCTTTCTGAGAATCACACACTTCAACATCACCAACAAGGACCTCATGGGTATCAATTTCTAAATTAAAACCTGTTGATAAAAGCTATTATTGCTGAAGGTTCAGATGTTGCATAGCCTGTTGGCTTTCTCCCTGAAAAAACTGTTGTGTGTCAACCATCAACTCCTTTATCCGTCTAATCAAGCACAGCCGCTTCCCTCTAACATCTACTGCTGCCCCTCCCTGAATACAGAAGAATCTTCGACACCTTCTAGAGCTACAAATGCATCACCACCTGTCTTATCACCCAACTGCTGTTGTGAACTAGTGCCAGCTTGGTCATATACACCTAGTTATGGTTGCTGCCCCATGTTAACTTGATCGATATCTAAGCCAATATTTACTGGATTCCTCACAGCTACATTACTTGATCCTTCCCGCTTTCTACAGCATTCCTTCTGAACTCAAGATGAGATATGAAGCAATTTTTCAGACAATGGCCAAGCATTTTGCCCCTAGTAGAATAACGTGGCTTTTATTCAACAACCACCTTTTTTCAATACCCATTATTGGTGGAACCTATCCAAATCTCCTTAACAACCCAGACAGTTGTTTCCCTCTCAACTGAGACTCTAGCCGAAGATCTGCCTATATTAAAAGTAGGAAGATCAAATTTTAAAGGCTTGCCAAAGATGGCTCCCAAAGAATACAAAACCTGTTTGTTGAAAAAATGCAACCCAAGTCCTGGGAACTTAAACAAAATTGGATGGAGTCCGCTTAATTACTTTCATTGTAGCATTGTCAATATAAAAAATCTTCCTTAAGAAGATTCTCAGTCTTTTTCTCTATTCAGCATAATCAACATGTGCCTACCATCCAGAAGACCAACTTTCCATCCACCGATATTCGGTTGGTAAGTTTTTCTAACTCAACATTGCTTAGGTCCAATCTAACTTCATGATCCTCCTTGATTAGCAAGAAGAGGATCAGCAAGTATTTTTTCCAAGTTCCGCTTATCCATTCAACTAAATGATGATTGTATGATTAAAGATAAGTATATTATAGTTCAAAATTCAAAAATACCTCAGCCAACCAAAAATATTCCTCCATCCAACATGATTGGAGCCATCTTTCTTGTAACATCAACAATCTTGTAACATCAACAATCATTTAACACTATCATACATCAATGGAGGACATACTCTCTAGGCATGGCAATAATGAGAAAATGACGAGAAAATGACACTATTTAAGATTGCCCATCTCCTCTCCATGGTAAAAAATTTACTTTGAAATACATCAAATGACACTGTATAAGAATGCCTATCTCCTCTCCTTTGGAAGCTCTGCATTATATCAATTGATTCCCATAAATTTCTAAAAATTGCTTGCATGCAATTACCTAAAAATCCATTCCTTTAGGGCCTATTTAGTTGCAAGTATTTAGAATTTAAGTGCATTATAAATATAATTGAAAGTAAATTTAATGTCATTATATCAATTGATTCCCATAAATTTCTAAAAAATTGCTTGCATGCAATTACCTAAAAATCTATTTCCTTTAGGGCCTATTTAGTTGCAAGTATTTAGAATTTAAGTGCATTATAATTATAATTGAAAGTACATTTAATCTATTTGAAATACATTTTGGCCTTCGGCTAGTTGTAGAATAAATTCAAGAGATCACACTTTTGTGTTTCAATTGTTGCAAACTGTAAATCTCATGCACACCACTAGCACTAGGTTGGGGGAAATTGTGGGTGATTGTCTTATGATAAAGACATCATCGAGGTAAGTGCAAGGTAGTGCGTGCAAGCAGAGGAACTTGAAGAGTTATGGTGCTGGTCACATCTGCAGTCAAGGGTCATTACCATGAGGGGCAACATTGGGCAAGGGAAGGAGGTCACAATATCAATTCAAGCAAAGAGTTCACGATGTGCACAAATACAATGATAGTGCATTTAGAATTCACCCGAATTGAGTAAATTACCAATACATCGAAAATGAATTTTCCGAGCAATTTTAAATTCCTCAACAAATTACACTGGCTTTGTTTTTATTACAATCACACTTGAAATTTTAAAATTCATGCATTTAATTTAATCTAGACTCCTAATACATCCAAACAAATAAACCTCCAACAATAGTTTGAACAACCCTTCCATCCATATCACCGTATTTAAAAAATTCTTCGAATCTTCTTTCACAATTGTGCACTTGTGGCCCTTTCATATAAATGTAAGGGTGGTTGAACAATGAGTGAATAAAAAAAATGTGTCAACTCCAATGATATTTAGTATTTTAATTTTAACTGGATCTTTAATGGGAAAATTTATATTGCAAAGGCACAGCATAATGGACAGAGAAATACTTTAAATGATTAATTATTGAGAAAAAAAAAACAATCTACCTTTAAGATAAAACATTGGCAAGTTCAAAATAGCATCAACATCTAAGAATGCCAGTCTACCATGAGTTTCATCCACCTCTGTTACAATAAAAAAAAAAAATTATAGATGTTCTAAAAAGGAAACAAAATAAAAAAACATTTAGAAAATTTACCTCCAAGATAGCTATGCAAGGAGGCCAGACATGTATTAAAGGTAATGTGGTGTTCTCCTGCCTGCCCATCAAGATGTCTGCTTTGACGTCAACAAGTAAATATTCTATTTATTAAAAGTTGATAAATGATAAGAATTATGTTAATCATGGTCAAAATAATATATAGTTAAAATAAGACGAAAAACCTACTTTGGAACTTGAAGTATATTACAATGTTGAAATTATGAAATTTCGACGACTGTGAGAAACCCAGTATAAATAACAAAAGAAGTTGATAAAAAGTAGAAGATAAATGCTGCGAACATGATAGCTTGCCATATGATATGAAACAACCATGCAACATGTTATCTCAAAAATACAAAATAGTATCATAGAAAAGCAGAAGTAACGTGTGTAGGGAAAGGAAAAATCATATAAAATAAATGAATGCAATTGGAAAGAAATAAATTTAAAATCCAATGCTTAAAATAATCAGCATCAGTGCACAACATAAATAGAAATTTTAAATTTATTGTCAAAAAACAATTTATTAGCATATGCAAAAAATTTGGTTCACTGGCAATTTGAATAACAAATTCACAAATGACATTAACTTCTATTTAGACGATATATATACGCCTATCAAATCAAATAATACCAAAATATTAGGTCATCTAGAGGCTAAATAAATGACAACAGAAAAAATAATAATAAATTAATAATTGTTCATTCCAATTATATAACACTGTCATTGACGGTCCCAAGCCCGGATGTGAAAAGTGGAGGGTTGCATTAGGCAGTTGGCAACCGCATAAAACTTGTCAAAAAAATCATGAAATGAATCCTTATGATCATTGTGTAAGTGTGTTAGGGTGTCCCCTAGAAGCGACGCATTGTCTAGCCTGAATATAGTGAAAATTGTGCAAGGGTCGCTACACCGGCGCCCGAATATAGTGTCAAATAAGCAAGGGTTCCCACATTACGGATGGATGTGGGTAAAGAAGTTAGTCCATGAAACAAATGAAACTAATATTAGAATAGGATCTTGGAATATAGGTAATCTCAATGGTGAATTAATAGAATTAATTGATATTATGATTCAAAGAAAGATTAATATCTTATATATTCAAGAAACTAAATGGGTTGGAGAAAAGGCCAAGGAGATTCATAACTTAGGTTTTAAACTTTGGTATTCTGATAAGAGTCACACTAGAAATGGTGTAGGCGTAATTATAGATAAGAGTTTAACAGATAATATTGTAAAAATTAATAGAGTATGAAATAGAATTATAGCCCTTAAGATTATCATTGATACTAAGGTTTTTAATATTATAAGTGTTTATGCTCCTCAAGTAGGTTTAGATATAGGGCCTAAAGATAAATTTTGGAATGACTTAGAAGCTTAGAAGACTTAATACAAATGATACCTCTTGAAAAAAATATTTTTACTGGAGGACATTTAGATAGACACGCCGGTAAAGAAGTAGAAGATTTCAGAAATATTCATGGTGGCTACAGTTTTGGAGTGACTCATGAAAACGGTAGAGCTATTATAGATTTTGCTTTAACGTATGATTTTGATATTACTAATACTTTATTTAAGCAAAGAGTTGAGCATCTTATTACTTATAAGAATGGATCTAATAAAACACAAATTGATTATTTTCGTATGAGAAGAAAAGATCGTCAAGATTGTAAATATTGTAAGGTCATTCCAAGTGAGGATTTAAGTACCTAACATCGTTTATTAGTTCTAGATTTTAAAATGAAGCGTTGTAAAATAAAGAATACTAAGACTCATCATCGTAGAATTAGATCGGGAAATTTAAAAAGCAGGAACATAAAAGACACAAATAAAATTATTTTTATGAGTAAAATTCAAGATTTCAAAATTTGGAAGGTTCATGAAGAAGCAAATGTTATGTGGGATAAGAAAACAAACACTATTAAATAAGTAATAAAATATGTACTTAAATAATTAAAAGAAAAGGCTTCTATAAATAAAAATAGTTGGTGGTGAAATAATAATGTGCAAGAAGAGAAAATATAAGAAGTTATGCTATAAAAATTGTTTTAAATGTAAAAGCTTAGAGAACTGGGAAAAATATCAAACGGTCAGCAGGGAGCCTAAAAGAACAATCTGATACGCTAAAAATCCTGCTTTTAGGGAACTTTATATTAGATTAGATAGTAAGAAGCGTGAAAAATATATGTAAAAACTAGCCAAACAAAGAGAAAATAAAAGTAAAGATTTAACTCAAGTAAAGTGTATTAAAGATGAAAATCAAAAACTATTTTTCTTAGAAAAAAAAATATTCAACATAGGTGAGTGAGTTATTTTGATAAATTTTTAATGAAGCTTCTTAAAATGCGATCGACTTTAGTGATCCTAATATCATTAATAATAAAAAAACGTTTCATTTTTACCGCCGCATTAGTAAAAAAGAAGTAGATGCTTTAAAGAAAACCAAGGGTGGAAAGTTTGTAGAACCTGGTGATATCTTAATTGAAGTGTGGAAATATTTAGGATGCCAAACTCTTTAATATTATTTTAAAAACTAAAAAGATGTCTGAGGTGTCGAGGAAGAGTATTGTGGTCCCCATTTTTAAGAATAAAGTGGATGCACAAGAGTGTGCAAATTGTAGAGGAATTAAGCTGATGCGCCATACATTAAAACTATGGGAGAGGGAAATTTAACATTGGTTAAGATATAAAAGATTTCTCATAATCAATTTGGATTTATGCCAACTGGTCTACTATGGAAGCTATACATTTCTTGAGAGGTTTGATGGAGAAGTTCAGAGATAATAAGGAGGATCTACATTTGATTTTTATTAATTTAGAAAAAGCTTACGATAAGGTTTCAAGAGATCCTTTGGAAAGTTATTTAGAATAAATGTGTTGATATGAATTATATTCAAGTCATTAAAAATATGTATACTAGAGTTGTTACTTGTGTTCGAACTGAAGGAGGATTGACCAAATATTTTCCTATTTTTGTTGGATTGCACAAGGATCGACATACCATATATTTTTGCTTTAGTTATGGATAATCTTGCTGGACATTTATAGGAGGATGTACCTTGGTGTATGTCTTTTGCTGATGATATCCTTCTCGTGGATAAGATGAGAGATAAAGCCCAGAAAAACTTGAATTATGGAGGTCTACATTGGAGTCTAAAGGCCTTCATTTGATTAGAACTAAAAATGAATACATGGAATATAATTTTAGTAGTAGTAGCTTTAGTAACAAATATGTAACTTTGGGTGATCAAATTATTAAAAGGTGTGAACGATTTATATATCTCGAATATGTTGTTCAAAGCGGTGGTGATATAGATGGGAATGCTAATAGTAGAATTCAAGTTGGTTGGTTGAAGTAGATGAATGATTCAAGCCTTTTGTGTGATAGAAAAATACCACTCAGATTGAAAGGAAAAATTTATAGGATGGTGGTGAGACCTGCAATGCTTTATGGGGCTGAACGTTGCCCTTTAAAAGAAAAGCATAATACTAAGTTAAGTGTTGCAGAGATGAGAATGATTAGGTGGATGAGTGGCCTTACAGTTAGAGACAAAATGCAAAATGAATATATCTGTGATAGGGTTGGTGTAGCTCCTGTGACGGACAAAATTAGAGAAAGTCGTCTTACGTCGACCATCTAATGATCCGATTATGAGAGTAGATGTTTTAGATTCGACTTATGTTAAAAAAAGGTAGAGGTAGACCTAGGAAGACTTGGGCAGATTTGTATTAAAAATGATCTTAATTTTTTAGAACTAAATGAATGACACTAAAGAGGACGCAATGGAGAAAAAGGATTCATGTAGCCGACCTCACGTAGTGGGATTAAGGCTTTGTTATTGTTGTTGTTCATTCCAATTATAATTAACATTCAATCGCTTAACTAATGGTATTTACATATCTAACACCCAAAATTTCATATTTACATGATAACACTCAAATCATTAATATTACAAAAATGAAACCCTATAAATAACATATTAAAAGTGAAATACAACTTTTCATGTATAGAATTATGATACCAAAGTGTTATAAATGTAAATATCAAACTTTGGGTGTTAGTTATGTAATGCATATGAATGGTGGTATGCATGTAAATTTCCAAAACTAATATGAAACCAACCATATAAAATTATATTGATAACACTTCTACAAGTTTAGCACCGGGACCTACATTACATTAAACCAAATAGCACCTGAACACTTCAGCTCTCTTCATACTTATAATTTTGGCAAAATTCAAGCGTTCTTATTTTCCTTTTCTCCTTTTCAACAAAGAAAAAAGAGGAGTGTGTTTCCCTCACTTCGTTCATCTCAAAAATACTCATAAAAAAAAGCTGGCAACAAGAGAAAAAAATCAAACACATTCCAAATTTAATATGGCTTTCTAATATATTCGCACAAAACGTAGAATCCATCATCTGGATCTGCGCCCTGATATTCGAAAAGCGATCGAATTAACCTGACGAGAAAGTTGTCGTCGTCGTCGGTGGAAGAAGTTTCATCGACCTCCTCGATCTGGAGCTCCTCCATGTCGAGCTCTCTGATATGCTGCATCTGAAGCCTCTCGTTTTCCAGCAGCCTGTCGGGATCCATCTTCTCGGCTCGCTCTCTTGCGAAGCCAACAGCGATGCGATCGAATGGGTCTAGTTTTTAGACCGGCCACGATTCTTGAACTTACCCCGCAGGCGCACGGGTGGCCTTTTGCCATTACACAGATAAACGAATATCTAATTTTTAATGGCAATAAAATATATAAATAAAACATGAAAAGGGATATATGCATACAATGCAATCAAAAGATTGTCATTTACAAAACTAACATCCAAATGATTTTTTTAACGAATAATGATCAAATTATTGATATTTTGATAAAAAAATAAAAAATATAGGCTAAAATTTTATTATTAATTTTGATATTTGAGTGAGAATTTTAAAAATGAACGAAAAGCCATGCTAGAATTGTAACCAGCAATGTATGTAATGCTATGTACCTAATTACCCCTATTTTTTTCTATTTACATTTGAATTTAAATTATTTTGAAATACTTTTAGTTGAATTTTTTTTCAATTCTAATAAAAAATTATAAATCTATATATGTTTAAACTATATGCTTAATTCATTAGTTTCTACGTATAATTAATCATTCTCAAACATAGCTCAAATTTGAAGAAAATAAATATAAGATATTGTATGAAATTTTAAAAGTCAAATCATATTCTTATAATACTCAACAAAAAAATAAAGATTTAATATTTAATTACATTTGTTTGTGTAACATCTTAATTTTTAAACAATTACATACATACACTCAAAGCATTGATATTTACATCTATAAATCAGTGATGTGGACGGTGGTTGTAGAGCATCTATAAATGGGTGATAGAAGTGAGAAGACCAGTCGGGAAATAATTATGGGGCATCCATGGACAGATAACAATGGTTAAGAGGTTATAAGAATGATATAATGCTAAAATGATCCTTGTTGGGTGATGGTGGTCGGGCATATATAGATAAGCAATGGAGATCAAATAACCATAATTGGGTGATGGTGGTTGAATACTCATAAACTGAGGATCGTGGTTATGAGATTGTAATCTGACAATATAGATTGATAAGTTCATGATGCAAGACTATGGTTGGATGATCATAGTTAGGTGACGAACATCGTGTCATTATATATAGGCAAGTCAACCAATGTTTTTGGATGATGGTGATTGGGTGATTTTAGCCCAATCATGATAATTTGATTGTCATAGTTGAACGATAAATGTCAACCAATTTTAAATAGGTGATTGCGGTTAAGGCGACGAGCTCTAGATGAGCAATGGAGGTATAGCAGCTATAATCAGTTAATGTGGTTCCATATTTAGGCAACGGTAGTCAAGCAGCTATAACTGGATTACTATAAGTTAAGTTATGATGATTGTGCAATCTTAATTGGATAATAATACTTAGGTGTCGAAGGTTAGGCAATTATAGATGAGTGACTTTGGTCGAAATATCATAGTCAGACAAATACGATTGAGCTAAAAAATGTTGGGGAAACATGCCAATGTGATGCGGGTAGATTTAGTGTGTAAATTTTACAAATATTTTTCAATATTACAAAATACACATGACAAATATAATAATAAATATGCAATATAATTCATAATTCCAACAAATATGCAATATAATTCCAACAAAAATACATTTTCTGAAAATAGCTTATCTTTAAAACTATTTTTTAAACTGTCAAATCTTCTTTAAAATCAACGCAAGTATACATATCACTCAAGTAATAAATGACTCTAATAGGGTCCTAGATATCGATTCCACAAGAATGTTGGATAAACCTATAAGTAAATTCTTAAAATTATTTTATAATTTAAAAATACAAAAATAAAAGTAAAGTGTGAAGTTTGAATATTAACTACTAAA